CGCGGGTCCCGGATGACGCCCGTGGCCCGGAGCGGAGGCCGAGCTTCCAGCCCGACTCAGCCGCTGGAGCCGCCACCTCCCCTCTCCGACTCTTTGGTCAGAGTAAACCGGTTTAGCCACCTATTTGGCCCTAGAAAAAAGTGCATAAATCTAACATTGCGGAGTAAACGCAAGGAGAGCGCCTCAGTTCCCGGGAGAGTCCAGAGTTTAACCCCGCAGCCTCTGTGCTTCGGGAGAGGGGAGTGACAGTCACTGATGCTGCGTGAACCTCCTTAGAGGTTAGAGCTGTGAGCTGGAGTCAAACCCTAGCGTGTTTTCCCCCAACTTAAAAAACAACACAAAACAAAGCACCTTTTCCAAAAATAGGGCTTTTAAAAAATGTTTCCAGCATTGCAGTTTATGTCTTCATAGATGTTGTGCTTTAGAAATTTTAGATTTACAGGAAAATTGAGATAGTTCAGAGTTCCCAAATACCTCAGCTTTTTCCCCCTCTAATGAACCAATGTTAATACAGTACATTATTTATTGGCCAGAGTCCACAGTATATTTAGATTTCCTTTTTACCTGAGCACGTTTCTGTTCTGTATCACATTCGTTGTCTCCTTAAGCCTCTTGGCTGTGGCGTTTTCTCACACTTTGTTTTGATGACCTTGACAGTTTGGAGGAATACTGGTGAGTTAGCTTTCCTCCACTGTAACAAATACTTGAGATAATCAGCTTACAAAGAGAAGGAGTTTATTTTGGCTCACATTTTGGGAGGTTAGGCCTGTGGTGAAGTACATCGTGTAACGTACACTGCAAAACAAGATCTCTTACTTCATGGCCAGGGAGTGAGAATGGAATAGACTGGGTGTGAAGCCTGTTCCCAAGGACCTACAGACTTACCCTGGGCCAGTGGTGTCGAACCCATGGCATGCAGTTCACAGTGGGCATGTGGAGTCCTCTGTGTCACCATGTGAGCCAAGTACAGGCTGGACTGAGACTGGGTGTGACCACCACAAGAGACTACGGACCTCAGAGCCTCTGAGTTGAGGCTTCTTAGGAAGACTTTAGTCTTAGGCCCCACCCCAGGATCAGAATAGAAATACATGGAACATGGGAAGATACTGGTTTTGTTGAACAAAGGCTTAATTTTGGCCGGCATCCAGGCTGATTTAGAGTTTACCACTTTAGTAGAAATGGAATGTTGGCCTCCTGTCCTCCCCAGAGTGTGCGTGTGTGTGTAGGTCAGGGGAGAGCTGGGTGATGTTTGCAACCAGTAGTGTCTAATCTAAGGAGAACCCTCTGAGCCTGTTGCTGAAACAAATTTGTAAAGTGGGAAAGGAAACTATGGTGTCAGGGGGAATCAGGGGTTGACATTAATTTCATAAGCATTTACAGACCCCCCTACTTTGGGCCAGATACTAGAGATAAAAAGATCAGGAAGGCATGACCTCAGTTCACATTCTTGTTTGGCGAAAAGATGGGTAAAAGTTATTAAGACAGATGAAAATATAAGTAAGAGGTCGTGTGTTGGTGCCGGGAGAACTGCAGCGTATGCAGGGCTGCAGGAGCTGATTGGGTACAGAGAAGGGAACAGTCTTGTTCTGAGCTGGGGGAATGGGAGGTAGAGGGGCTGCATTCCTTATAAAGTAGCAGCTGAAACATTAGGCAAGATGTGGCAGGATTTGGGGCTGCATGGGTAAGTTTGAGCCAGACTGTGGAAAGCCTTACATGTCTCGCTCTGCAGTCTGGCCTCGCCTAGGACTTTAGATGCAGAAGAGTAACGGGATGACAGCTCTGTGTTGGAATGATGATCCTGGCAGCACTCTCACCTGCCGCGACCCGCACAGCATAGGGTCCAAAGCCTGGGAGAGCGGTGGGAGATGAAGAAAGATGATCAAGTCCAAGAAGTACGCTCAGCTGAGACCTGGTGGAACCATAGCTTGTCCGGGAGCTAAGGGCCACCTGGAACACTTATGGGCTCCTTATAGTGGAAGGCAAACAGGAAGAGAAGGCCGGCAAATAGTGCTAGGCAGCCTACGGTAGCCTAGAGGCAGAACGTAATGTGATTGTTTTGTGATTGGGACATGCTCAGGAACACAGAAGGAGAGACGCTGTCTCCTGAGCTGTGCCATCCAGGGTCTGCAGTAATCTGTGGAGGAGAAGGGGAGCAGGAAGAGAGGAGGGGCCGTCCCCAAGCTCGGCCCGTGGCACTCATGGAATTTGACACACTTATTTTATGTGTCCTTAACAGGAAAAAAATATTTTGCCAGCTATGATGTGGTGTCAGCCACATTTCAGAGGTGCGAAGATGTGATGGCGTGGGTGTCTCAAATTTGTTGATGAAAATAATAACTAACTTCTGGCTTGGATGCCTTCTTCTCCATGGGTATGAATGGTTAGACCATCTTTAGCTCACTAACCGATAGATGTTGACTTTACCAGCTCCAAATATGATCTAAAAAACACTAAATTTATTAATCTGGTCTTTTCCTGATGGTCCATTCACCAAGAATCAGCATGAAAATATCAGTGATTTCTGACTCAAAGATTTATGGTATTTTTTTTTTTAATTTAAATTTTGCACACCTGTAATCCCAGCACCCGGGAGGCTGAGGCAGGAGGATCACTGTGAGTTCAAGACCAGCCTGGGCTACATAGTGAGTTCCAGGTCAGTCTCAACTACATAGTGAGACCCTGTTTCAAAAACCCAAAAAACAAAAAATTAAAAAAAAATTTTTTTGTACAGAGGATTGAAATTGGGACCTTGCACTTTTGAGGCAGGCATCAGAACTACTGAGCTAAATCCCGAGCCCTTCAGCTATGTTTATTCTGTTTTGGTTGCTTTTAATAACAGAAGTACTTTATATTATAAGTGAAATATGCTATACCTGCCAAGCCTTTGAGATTGTCCTGAAAATGGCCTTTATATTGTCTCCACCTCCTTTTTTTTTTGTACCGGGGATCAAGCTTGGGACTTTGTGCTTTCGAGGCAAGGGGCAGAACCACTGAGCTAAATCCCTGGCATCACCTCCATTTTTGATGCTGATCTGGAGGTCCACCAAATTCAAGAATCTAGCTGCACAGCAGGTAGCTGAGGCTGGATGAAAACTCTAGATGTTTTAGCCTCACCTAGGAGGCTTTCCTTTGTTGACCTTTGGTTAGAATGACAGTTGAGGGTGGGAGGAGATTCTGCCTGTTTCATCTTTTAGAATTCCTAAGGAGCTGTGTGTGGGCAAGGGGCTCCCGCAGCCCAGAGCAGGTTGGAGGTCTGTCCTGTCCCAACAGATTATTTCAGCCTTGAAAATCAGAGTACCACCCGCCCTTGGTGCCTGCTTTTGTTGCAAGACCTCTGTCCAGATTAAGTTGGCTGACTGTAAACAGTATTTTGGCCCAGAAACCTTCTGCTGTACTTTTTTCACACATGATAGACAAGTCCAAGGTGACTGTGCAGAAAGAACATTTATTGGCTCTTTGGACTGAAAAATTTAAGGATAGGTCTAGCTTCAGGCACAGATTGCCACAGGATTTGAAAATACTCCAGCAGGATCCGGTTTCTTTCTTTGCTTCTCTCTGGGTTGTTCCTTCTCAGAGAGACTAACCCTGTGGTTAGCAGGATTGCTCAGTAGCTTCCTTACCTCTAGGAGACCACAAGGATTCCCCTCAACCAGGTCTTCTGTGACTGGCTAAAGTGGAGTCCTGTTGCTGCCGAAGCAGGATGGGGGTAGGGTCGGAACTTGTGAGTTAACTGGTTCTTGAGCTTCACCCTGGAACAGTGGGACAACTCCAGCCTAAGCTTATGATCTCCAGAAAGGAATTGGGTAAAGTTACCCAAAGCCAGAAGAACGGAACAGAGAAGCCCCTCCCCTCCCC